GTGTATGTGTTGACCTTATCAGGTCACATGTGTAGGACTTCCATATTTTTGTTCAAAGGCTATACCATATTTATATATATAGAGAAATGATTAAAAACTGATTACGGAAAACCCGCAATCATGGTCTTGAAATCGAAGAATCCTTTTATTGAATAGAAAATCGCTTTCTCGTGACCAAAGCTTCATCAGCACGCTTTGAAATATAGCTTTAATGGTATATAAAATATAGTTTACTTTAATTAGAGTTAGAACACCAATTAACCGATGCTTCAAATGTGATAAATCCAAAAGAAAGATACAAATTGAAGACAAAACACAAAAACTGAGGGAATCGCATGAACTCCATAGTGAGCGAGAACAGGTAAGTCTACTGTAATGCATGCATCACCCGCCATGCAAATCCACAGGAATAGGATACAATTGGTAAAACTACAGATCGCATGACTATTCTGGTATCTAAAGACCATAAAACATGTCGCTGGTGAATTGTTTGTCTAGTGATGACTTTCCTCTTCGGCTTTCAGTCGATAGAAAACATTTGTCCACGGGCCCTAACAATCAATGAGCGAGAGATTTTATTTTACGTTCAGCAACGAGAGAGAATTTTTCAATGCTCCTGGATTGATGCAGGAAGAAAATGTTCTTCTAGCTTTGTACACAACACATGATGAAACATGACATGCAGATGGAAAGACTTAAATATGCATATTCAGTGTGGTGTGTGAATACTATATATTGAAAGGGATATGAAATTCCATTAACGGACACATACTAAGGAAGTGTTTATAATGCTTATAAAGGTACAGTGTAAATGTACAACTGAACTCGCTTCCTGAAAAGGTATACCTCAATTGACCCTTATTCACATACACATTTTGTCTCTGACTTACCAGTTCACGAATCATGTAATTGTAACAAAAGTAAGGTTGAAACTCCCACAGGGAAAATTGAACTTATACCTTTTTGGTTGTTTCCGGCCTGTTTTATGGAAGTAAGTCATGCTATTGCTCCTAGAACGTCCTATAGTTTTGGTCTTGTTCGTACCACACAATGACGACTTTCCAAAAACACATGTGGTGTGCATGGAAATATTTATCAAGATTTTTTATTTTTGGGGAATTTCATTGCTTTTTGCATCTTATATATCTCTGGCAATTTTGATTTTAACTTTTATTTGAATGATATATCGCAAAATGAAATAGAAAATGAAAACTAGATGAAGAAAAGCCATAAAAGTGCTGTTACTTGTCCTTAAAGTTGTTCAAGCCGTAGGATATACCTCACATCTTCTTTAATGTGTTCAAGCTGTAGGATATACCTCACATCTTCTTTAATGTGTTCAAGCCGTAGGATATACCTCACATCTTCTTTAATGTGTTCAAGCCATAGGATACACCTCACATCTTCTTTAATGTGTTCAAGCCGTAGGATACACCTCACATCTTCTTTAATGTGTTCAAGCCGTAGGATACACCTCACATCTTCTTTAATGTGTTTAAGTCGTAGGATATACCTCACATTTTCATTAATGTGTTCAAGCCGTAGGATATACCTCACACCTTCTTTAATGTTCAAGCCGTAGGATATACCTCACATCTTCTTTAATGTATTCAAGCCAAGGGATACACCTCACATCTTCTTTAATGTGTTCAAGCCGTAGGATATACCTCACATCTTCTTTAATGTGTTCAAGCCGTAGGATATACCTCACATCTTCTTTAATGTGTTCAAGCCGTAGGATATACCTCACATCTTCTTTAATGTGTTCAAGCCGCAGGATACACCTCACATCTTCTTCAATTTGTTGAGGTCTAATAGATAACACAAGACCTTTATCAGGAAACCTCAAACCCAAACATTTGAAAGCCTATAAAATCTAAACATATGAAGAGATAACTGACCAAAAGGGCCCTACAAAATAGCCCTATTCACTTAGGTAAACTTTGCATGCGGGAGTTTGAACCTTATTTTTTTTAATAATTTTTTAATTCATTAACGGGGGATTTTTAGAAAAGTTTGTTTAAAATCATGTCAGTACTGAAAGACTGACTACTGAGTTAATGTTACCCTCGACGACCAACAATCCACCATCAGTGGTATCGACCAAGAGCAAGTTAAAAACACATACACTTTATTAATTTTATGCTTTCGAAGCGCTTTTTTCTGGATTTATCGTCATCAGGAACGATCAAATCCAAACATGAGAAACCCAAGGATGTATAAACACGAGAAGAGTAAGTTTGAATATAAAGAGATGACATTAAAATCAAAGGTCTTTAATGCATCTTGTCATTAGAATTATACTTGTTTAGAGGCCTGGAGTCGGGTTTACAAAGAAAATGATCGTAAGTCATGAAAAATTCAGTATACTTGCGGGTAATCAAATAAAAAGTAGTGAAGATAACAAAGGGGGTAATCAAATAAAAAGTGGTGAAGATAACAAAGGGCGGCAAATAAATAAAAAAAGTGTGAAGATACCAAAGGGGGTAATCAAATAAAAAGTAGTGAAGATAACAAAGGGGGTAATCAAATAAAAAGTGGTGAAGATAACAAAGGGGGATAATCAAATAAAAAGTGGTGAAGATACCAAAGGGGGGCAATCAAATAAAAAGTGGTGAAGATACCATAGGGGGGCAATCAAATGAAAAGTGGTGAAGATAACAAAGGGGGGTTATTAAATAAAAAGTGGTGAAGATATCAAAGGGGTCATCAAATAAAAAGTGGTGAAGATAACAAAGGGGGGGGGGGGAGGGGGGTTATCAAATAAAAAGTGAAGATAACAAGGGGGGTCATCAAATAAAAAGTGGTGAAGATAACAAAGGGGGTAGTCAAATAAAATGGTGAAGATACCAAAGGGGGGTAGTCAAATAAAAAAAGGGATGAAGATACCAAAGGGGATAATCAAATAAAAAGTGAAGATACCAAAGGGGGGTAATAAAATAAAAAGTGGTGAAGAAACCAAAGGGAGGATATCAAATAAAAAGTGAAGATTCCAAAGGGGGGTAATAAAATAAAAAGTGGTGAAGAAACCAAAGGGAGGAAATCAAATAAAAAGTGAAGATACCAAAGGGGGTTTATCAAATAAAAAGTGGGGAAGATAACAAGGGGGGTAATCAAAACCATAATCAAACAACGATAGACAACAGTATAACTAACAGAAAAAGACGAACAGACAAAACACTATAAAGGAAACCAATGACTGAGCAAAGCGAACCCAAACAAAAACCGGGGTTGAACTCCTGCGCTCCTGAGGCGTAAGCAGTTTATACTCCACTCGTGACACCATCACTCTTATTGTGTATAAAAAATAGGTGTGATAAGTCTTAATCAGGGAAGTTAAGAATGAGGAAGGGGTGGAATATGAACATATCCGTGGTCATCTGTGCATAACGTAGTAACGGTCAACCAAGTCATGAAGATATCTATGAAACTTTCGAAGAAACGATTTTAACTTTACCTTAAATAATCCATAGCTCAAAAGCTTCATTGTAAGCAGCAAAAATAATCATATCATGGTCATAAATGAATATGATTTTGCTACCGGAAAGATGGATGGATTAGTATTTAACGTTCAGTGGAAAATATTACATCCATAACAGAACTAAAACGTGTTAATCATGTGATATGAATACGAGTCCTGCTTTATCGGTGAAATTATGTCTGTCTCATATCTTGACTTGCATTTAGAAATTGACAACGAGGGGAGGTTGAGAACAAAACATTGCTACAAAAGAGATGAAATCAGCTTCCCGATTTTGAAGTTTCAATCTTAATGTAGCAACATTCCAGTAGCGCCTGCATATAGAGGATATATCTCCAAGCTGATATGGCATTCCAGGGCTTACATTTCCTATCATGATTTCCTTGGTAGAGGGTTGCTGCCAACAAATGTTTCAAGGGCGCTATAAAACCAAGAGTTCCTCGTGGCGAAGTTGACATCATCCCGTCGAAAAATTTATGGACACTATCACGAGTTGTTTGACCGTTATGCAATATATGTTTCACAGATTACGACGGATATGTTCTAATTGTCTTAACCACAATCCTGCCTCTGTTCATCGAATTTGACATACCTAATTAGACTTATCACCGGTTTTGTACATGCAGGAGCAACACAAAGGGTGCTGCATGTGGAGCAGGATCTGCTTATTCTTCCGCAGGACCTGCGATCACCCCCGGGGTTTGTTGGGGTTCGTGGTGCTCAGTTCCTAGTTGTATATATTGTGTGTTGTATACTGTTGTTTATATATATTTTGGTCACTTTTCGTTTTTTTTTTGCCATAGCAGTGTCGGCATACGAGTTCCTTGATATATCTATCACCGCTCTTTTTTAAGCTAGTGTTTTTGTAAGAAAAATTAGCTGTCTTCACAATGTTATACGAAATTTTCGTGAAAATGTTTACTTTTAATTCACTCCTTACGCTGGTTATCAAAGCTTTTTGTTGTATTCGATAATGGCCTTGCGTATTGTCATTTTAATAACAAATAATGTTTTTTCTAGATCTACCATCCTAATCGGTCATGACGCCAGCCGATTGTTCTTCCCGATCTAGTTCCACTGGTGGAAAGAACGTAGTTTTCTGAAACAATTTTCTGAGGAACAACTCGGTCAAAATGGCAAGGTTGTTTTTAGCGTGCGTGAAGTCGGAGGTCGTTTTTTTCAAATTTTACAGGTCGCAAGTCGTTTTTAGAAGGCCCTCAGGTCGGAAGTCGCCTCTAAAAAGCCCAGAGGTCGCAGGTCGTTTTTGACCCTGCGGGAGCCTCATTCTGAATCATTAACTCATCAACTACACTAGCTGCTGAATTTGTATTTTTCTTGGTTTAAAACAAAACAGATAATTCTGTACATTCATCTGAATTGAATAAATAAAATTCTTGAAGTCTTAAATGGAAAGTTTCTGTGTTTGTTGGAAATAACATTTTTTCCTTTAGATGGCCATCTTGTTGGCAGCAACTATCTATCACTATTCATATACAATAAAATAAAAAATAAAATTTACTGAGATATAATTATAAGTTTATTTATCTGTATAGAATAACAACAAGTATATACAAAATACATTAAAGTGTATTCTATAAATAAAATTAACTAAAATACACAAATTTTTAACACACATTCATGTGATCCATCCATATTAATAAATATCTTGAGAAACAAAGTACAAAGTGTTTCTTCTTGTTGGTTTCTGCTACTTAAAACATTCAGCAATATTTGAAAAAATATAGATGACTATTTAAAGTTTTTTTTACATAAACAAAAGATTTGATGTAATTAGAATATTTGTTAAAAACATAAAGACCGAACACGCTACCCACTGCATATATGCTATTAATTTTCCAGAAAAATAAGTTTTGGACACTTTTCCTTTTATCTAATTTAATTTTTCTTATGTTTATTTCTTATTTTAAATTCTGACAATTTTGAAAAAAACAACACACAATTAGAGAATTGGCTAAACTTTCTCATAATCTTCCACTGGCCACTGTATAAAATAAGGAGAAACAGAAAGACAATTATACATTATCTAATATACAACAATCTGTAGTAATACATGAAGCACCATTTCTATTTCCAATCAACTCATCATCACTTTAAACTCTCATTGCATATATTGGTGAGTTTAGTAAATTACTCATCCTATTTCCCATACAAAATTAATACATCATAGTGGTACATTACTCTGTTTGATTTCAGTCCTACTAATAATTTATGTCAAATAGTTTCTACTGTGATGCTGAAATCAATTAGGAAAACAAAAAATCTTGAAGGAAATGCACATATGAAAATTAAAGTATGGAGTGTTTCCATTTTCAAATGATCTAATTTTTGTGTGACAATGAGCGCAAGATAAATCATGAAATATCAATGAGCTATTATATCTTTTGCTCACAAAACCTTACTGAATATAGGTAAAAGATTTGAAAGCATATATGTCAGCTCTATAATTTTAAAGTTTTAATAATGATAAGTAGATGAATGTCTATTTCCTTTTCTTTGTGTCCCTGTAGCCTTTCATGATATATCCTTTAGTTTTAATGATTCCACGACACTTTACCAGGACAGAATATCTCAGGACCCACAATGGTTCCCAGCCTTCTCCATCTTTCTCTGTTGTGTTGGTAGATATCAACTCTTGGAATGATTTTGTTGGTAGTATATCTGTAAAATAAAGTAAAGTAATTAGGATATTCAGGGATTATCCCTAATATTTAGTAACTCCTCTGCTTTTTTCCTAGTGTATTCAGGGATTATCCCTAATATTTTGTTACTCCTTTCCTTTTTCCTAGGATATTCAGGAATTATCTCTAACATTTTTTACTCATGTGTCCTTTTAATCAATGCATCTAAATTATATACCCAGTTAACCATATAGTTCTCATTTTACAAACATAACCGTGATTGTAATCTGGTAAAATTGATTGCAGTGCTATTTTACATACATTATCCCCAATTGAGATTTCAGTGACTTCCCTTTTCTCACAAGAATTTGTGATTTCAAGTGACCATATCTTAAAACTAGAGGCTCTCAAGAGCCTGTGTCACTCACCTGTATCTACTGTTGTTTTGGAAATCATGTAAAATAAGGTTTAAATCATAATAAATAGTATTAGACACCCTAATAATGATTGCACATGAGGCCAAGTTTGGTTTAATTTGGCCCAGTAGTTAAATTAAAAGCAGGTTATCTCACTAGTAACTATACTTACAATAGTTACTGAAGACCCCTTAAAATTTCAGGGCAGATAGAATAATCTGATGAACATTTTTACCAATGTCAGATTTGATCTAAATGCTTTAGTTCCAGAGATAGAAGCCAAAAACTGCATGTTACCCCTATGTTCTATTTTTAGCCATGTCGGCCATGTTGGTTGACAGGCGGGGTCATCCAACACATTTTTCAAACTAGATACCATAATGATGATTGTGGCCAAGTTTGGTTAAATTTCACCTTCAGGCCAGGTGAGCTAAAAAAACTAGGGATGTCAACTCAATAAAAATTTACTAATTGAGTACTCGTTGGATTTACCAAGCGATACTCAAGTACTCACTCGAAAAAAAATCTACAAAATGGAAACACAAAATTATACCTGTTTTATGTATTGTATGTCATTTTCTTATGAACATAAAACCCTCAACATTATTACCTAGGAATAGATAATTGTTCCAGGAATTTTATAGCATAATTAATAGCTCATTAACTACTTGTACCAATTAAGTAAATTGGCAATAATCTAATCAATTAATTAATCTTGTTAATACACATCTTTAGAAAAATAATTACTCAAACAACAGTATTTGGGAATCATAAAAACACATATTTAATGGTCAGCAAAGGGGTAATGATTAGAAACTTACTGATGCCTTTAATCATTTTCTGAGGGTCGACACAGGGTGCAACGAATTTGTTCTTATTTAGAAATATTAATTTGTCAGCTTTTTTTGGGACGAGGCGATTTCTCATCTTTGTTATGTATTTAACATTCCTGCTGATGAAACTATTTGCTCTGACAGAGGTACAGAGGTGGGGGGATGACTATAAGATTAGCTTAAAGTGTAAGCCTTGGAAAGATGCTCTTGTTTATAGCCTACCTCTGTTCGGAGGAATTTAAAATGACAATTAAGCGAACACATTCGAAACGTATTTTAATTTTGATTAATTTTGATTAATATTTAATTTCCTGGGAGGTGCTCTCAATAAAAATATTTTTTGTTTAAGCTTAAGAAAGCAACAACATTCTAACAGGAAACCGATTAGTCAAGTATCATTTTGGTATTCGATACTCGGTACTAACGAGCGATAAACGAGTACTCGAGTACTCGTTGACATCCCTAAACTAGAGGCTCTAAAGAGCCTGTGTCGCTCACCTTGGTCTATGTGCATATTAAACAAAGGACACAGATGGATTCATGACAAAATTGTGTTTTGGTGATGGTGATGTGTTTGTAGATCTTACTTTACTAAACATTCTTGGTGCTTACAGTTATCTCTATCTATAATGAACTTGGCCCAGTAGTTACAGTGGAAAATATTTTGTAAAAATTTGCAAAAATTTGCAAAATTTATGAAAATTGTAAAAAATTGACTATAAAGGGCAATAACTCCTTAAGGGGTCAATTGATAATTTTGGTCATGTTGACTTTTTTGTAGATCTTACTTTGCTGTACATTATTGCTGTTTACAGTTTATCTCTATCTATAATAATATTCAAGATAATAACCAAAAGCTGCAAAATTTTCTTAAAATTACCAATTCTGGGGCAGCAACCCAACAACGTGTTGCCTGATTGGTCTGAAAATTTCAGGGCAGATAGATCTTGACCGAATGAACAATTTTATCCTGTCAGATTTGCTCTAAAGGCTTCTGTTTCAGAGATATGAGCCAAAAACTGCCTTTTTCCCTATGTACTATTTTTTAGCCATGTCAGCCATCTTTTTTCGTGGGCGGGGTCATCGGACACATTTTTTAAACTAGATACCCTAATGATGATTGTGGACAAGTTTGGTTAAGTTTGTCTTAGTAGTTTCAGAGGAGAAGATTTTTGTAAAAGATTACAAAAATTTACGAAAAATGGTTAAAAATTGACTATAAAGGGCAATAACTCCTTAAGGGGTCAACTGACCATTTTGGTCAAGTTGGATTATTTGTAGATCTTACTTTGCTGAACATTTATTGCTGTTTACAGTTTATCTCTATCTATAATAATATTCAAGATAATAACCAAAAACGGCAAAATTTCCTTAAAATTACCAATTCAGGGGCAGCAACCCAACAACGGGTTGTCAGATTCATCTGAAAATTTCAGGGCTGATAGATCTTGACCTGATAAACAATTGTACCCCATGTCAGATTTGCTCTAAATGCTTTGGTTTCAGAGATATAAGCCAAAATCTACATTTTACCCCTATGTTCTATTTTTAGCCATGGCGACCATCTTGGTTGGTTGGCCGGGTCACCGGACACATTTTTTAAACTAGATACCCCAATGATGATTGTGGCCAAGTTTGGTTTAATTTTGCCAAGTAGTTTCAGAGGAGAATTTTTTTGTAAAAGCTAACGACGACGGACGACGACGACGACGACGGACGCCAAGTGATGAGAAAAGCTCACTTGGCCCTTTGGGCCAGGTGAGCTAAAAAAAACAGATGAACAAACATATCTTTTTTTTTTAAATGCATATGTATGTGCATTTTGTACTGTTGAGGATTTAATTGGACACACTTTTGTCAAATAAAATCACTGTTTTGTAGTTTATGGATGTAGCTTTTTATTAAGTAAATCAGGATTTCTTTTACATGTTATAGTCTGGAATTTTAGGGACAAAAAAGTCCTCATATCATACCATTTTAGTGGCTTCATACATATTAAACATAAAGTAAATAAATTACAGATTATACTGTTACCTCTTGGATCATTGTGTGTAAGTAGTTGTATATCATTATCCTTGGCATACTCCACCAAATCTTTGGGCATTACACAACATGATTCTAAGTTAACTTGATTGATGTGTGGTTTCACCTAAATATGAAAAAAAAATATAGCTTATTAAACCTGTAATATTAATCAAACTACAATATAATGCTAAGCAGGGTGCTGCTTGATACGACCGTAGAGGTATAACCCTGAATAGTTGGTGCAAGTATAGACACTAAATTCAAGCTTGATACAGCTCTGACTTTGGACTGTGATTAAATATTTGACACATCATAGGTTTCTGACACAGAATGTATGTGGTCAAAGAACTGAAAAATTTGAAATTGAACTTTTACCTGTTATTGTCCAATATCCAAAATCTAAATACATGGTTAGATTCAGCCTATCCAAGTGCACCAAGTATTTAATTTATTTATTTGTTAATGGACAATACTAGCTAAGATTTTAAAATGCTCCATAAAGGAATTAAGTTTAAGCTGTAATTGGTTGGAAACCTTTTATTAAACTTATTAATATTTTTTGGTGTTTGAATATTGCTACAAATGGGGCAGAGATGGATGTGTATGGTAGTTGAGGTTTATTTGTCATCAGGTAATGATTGAAGTTTTTAAACATATTGTGACTTTGGATGATGGGAAAGGGGAGGAAATTAATATTTCTTGACATTGTTAAACTGTTAGCATTCAGAAATTAATATTGATGATTTAGCAATTTTAGGAATAAATGATGTAGTGGAAATGAAATGCAGAATAAAATTACATCAAAGTTAAAAGGATAATAGAATTATCTTATAATAAACTGAAGCTTTTTTTAAAATTTTTTTGCAAATGTAATCGTGGTTTATAGGGTTGTTATTCTAAGTGGTTGGGATGTTATTTTAATTAGATTTGTGAATTTGTGGCTAGAATTGTTCTGAAAAGTGATATCAAATGATGACATTAATGTTGTGTGTTTTTAGAGTAGATTATCATTAAATTGTCATTTGATGTTATTTGCCTTTAAACAGAAATGTCAATATGGACGAAATTGTTTTTAAGTATATGTGGGAAATGTTTAGCACTCTAATTTGGACCCACTTGAAAACATGGCTCAAAAACAAAATTCTTAATACACGGTAAGAATATGCATATCAAAGAACCCCAATATTTTAAGATTATTTAAACCCCATTGAAATTGGTCAGAAATAAGCAATGCAAACAAAAATTTAATCAAACCTTCCTTTTGTGGTATTGAATCTTGTGACACAATAATAAGTCAATTTCATACAAATCCATACTCTATACTCAAGTGATAGTCCCAAAACCAGAAAATGTTTGTTTTTGACCCCAAATTCTTAAACGGTTAGGGCAAAACCCCCAATTTCTAAACCCTCTTTAAGTGGTTTGGTATCTTGTGGTACAATTTCATAGGGATCCATACACTCATACTCAAATCATTGTCTGGAAACCAATGTCTTCAGACCACAACGACATCTCATTACCATTATGGGGTCGTATAAAAACTGTTCAATACTACTAAAAGGTTTAAATAACATAATCTTTACTCTTAACAAAAGAAACATGTAGACATCCTAACTGTTTATGTAGCAAGGTCATAACTGTGCACACTATTTGATTGTAGTTTTTAAATATTATAAAGCTTTTCCAGTGAGGTACCAGTAAAGTAGCACCCCTAATGACAAAACATATTTACCCTTGCCCAGTTATACAGCTGTTCCTGTAATGTTTTGTTTACTTCAGCACCCCCTAGTGACAGTACATATTTACCCATGCCCAGTTATACAGCTGTTCCTGTAATGTTTTGTTTAGATCAGCACCCCTAGTGACAGAACATATTTACCCATGCCCAGTTATACAGTTGTTCCTGTAATGTTTTGTTTAGATCAGCACCTCTAATGACAGTACATATTTACCCTTGCCCAGTTATACAGTTGTTCCTGTAATGTTTTGTTTAGATCAGCACCCCTAGTGACAGAACATATTTACCCTTGCCCAGTTATACAGTTGTTCCTGTAATGTTTTGTTTAGATCAGCACCTCTAATGACAGTACATATTTACCCTTGCCCAGTTATACAGTTGTTCCAGTAATGTTTTGTTTAGATCAGCACCCCCTAATGACAGAACATATTTACCCTTGCCAAGTTATACAGTTGTTCCTGTAAAGTTTTGTTGAGATCAGAGTGGGGCCCATTACCAACAGAACATATTTACCCATGCCCAGTAATACAGTTGTTCCTGTAATGTTTTGTTTAGATCAGCACCCCTAGTGACAGAACATATTTACCCTTGCCCAGTTATACAGTTGTTCCTGTAATGTTTTGTTTAGATCAGCACCTCTAATGACAGTACATATTTACCCTTGCCCAGTAATACAGTTGTTACAGTAATGTTTTGTTGACATCAGCACCCCTATTGACAGAACATATTTACCCTTGCCAAGTTATACAGTTGTTCCTGTAAAGTTTTGTTGAGATCAGAGTGGGGCCCATTACCAACAGAACATATTTACCCATTCCCAGTAATACAGTTGTTCCTGTAATGTTTTGTTTAGATCAGCACCCCTAGTGACAGAACATATTTAACCTTGCCCAGTTATACAGTTATTCCTGTAATGTTTTGTTTAGATCAGCACCTCTAATGACAGTACATATTTAGCCTTGCCCAGTAATACAGTTGTTCCAGTAATGTTTTGTTCAGATCAGCGTGGGGCCCATTACTGACGAAACATATTTATCCTTGCCAAGTTATACAGTTGTTCCTGTAAAGTTTTGTTGAGATCAGAGTGGGGCCCATTACCAACAGAACATATTTACCCATGCCCAGTAATACAGTTGTTCCTGTAATGTTTTGTTTAGATCAGCACCCCTAGTGACAGAACATATTTACCCTTGCCCAGTTATACAGTTATTCCTGTAATGTTTTGTTTAGATCAGCACCTCTAATGACAGTACATATTTAGCCTTGCCCAGTAATACAGTTGTTCCAGTAATGTTTTGTTCAGATCAGCGTGGGGCCCATTACTGACGGAACATATTTACCCTTGCCAAGTTATACAGTTGTTCACGTAAAGTTTTGTTGAGATCAGAGTGGGGCCCATTACCAACAGAACATATTTACCCATGGCCAGTAATACAGTTGTTCCAGTAATGTTTTGTTCAGATCAGCGTGGGGCCCATTACCAACAGAACATATTTACCCTTGCCCAGTTATACAGTTGTTCCTGTAATGTTTTGTTGAGATCAGCACCTCTAATGACAGAACATATTTACCCTTGCCCAGTTATACAGTTGTTCCAGTAAAGTTTTGTTGAGATCAGAGTGGGGCCCATTACCAACAGAACATATTTACCCATGCCCAGTAATACAGTTGTTCCTGTAATGTTTTGTTTAGATCAGCACCCCCTAGTGACAGAACATATTTACCCTTGCCCAGTTATAGTTGTTCCTGTAATGTTTTGTTGACATCAGCACCCCTAATGACAGAACATATTTACCCTTGCCCAGTTATACAGTTGTTCCAGTAAAGTTTTGTTGAGATCAGAGTGGGGCCCATTACCAACAGAACATATTTACCCATGGCCAGTAATACAGTTGTTCCAGTAATGTTTTGTTCAGATCAGCGTGGGGCCCATTACTGACAGAACATGTTTGCCCTTGCCCAGTTATATAGTTGTTCCAGTAATGTTTTGTTGAGATCAGCCTGGGACCCATTACTAACAGAACATATTTACCCTTGCCCAGTAAAACAGTTGTTCCAGTAAAGTTTTGTTGAGATCAACACCCCTTTATGACAGAACTTATCTATCCATGCCCCATTATACAGCTGTTTTAGTAATGTTTTGTTGGTATCAATCCCCCTTAGTGACAGTCAGAACATATTTACCCTTGCCCAGTTATATAGCTGTTCCAGTAATGTTTTGTTGAGATCAGCAATTCCTAAAGACAGAACAGCTTCACTATCTACTAATTCTTCGAGGCATGTCCAGTATGGCTTGATTATGTCTAATGTTAAATCATCTTCATCTTCAAATTCAGGCAGAGCTAATAACACTGTCTCTATAAAACTCACGTTCAATTCTTTCAAAGCTGAAATGTAATATTTTTAGAATAATGCATTACTTGTTGATTGCTGGCTGTTTATATTTGATAATTAAAAGGAGGTCACTGTTATTAATGTCCTAACAAAGGCCAGGATATTTTTTGTTTCAATATGGAGGTTGATATAAATGTATCAATTTTTTTCTATGCATCTGCCTTATATTTTTCACAAGCAAATTATGTTTTTGCCTTTGTTACCTTGGTTACCATAATGATATTCTTACCTTTGTTTTTTTGTCTTGTTACCAGAATGATTTTTCCTACCTTTGTTGTCTTGGTAAGCAGAATGATAATCCTACCTTTGTTTATTGCCTTGGTTAACAGAATGATATCCCTACCTTTGTTGGCTTGGTTAACAGAATAATATTCCTACCTTTGCTAAATGTTTTGGTTTAACAGAATAATATTCTTACCTTTGTTAGTTTCCTTAGTTAACAGAATGATATTCCTACCTTTGTGTATTGCCTTAGTTAACAGAGTGATATTCTTACCTTTGTTAGTTGCCTTGGTTAACAGAATGATATTCTTACCTTTGTTAGTTGCCTTAATTTGTTAACAGAATGATATTCCTACCTTTGTTTGTTGCCTTAGTTAGTTAACAGAATGATATTCCTACCTTTGTGTGTTGCCTTAGTTAACAGAATGATATTCTTATCTTTGCTAGTTGCCTTAGTTAACAGAGTGATATTCTTACCTTTGTTAGTTGCCTTGGTTTACAGAATGATATTCTCACCTTTGTTAGTTGCCTTAATTAGTTAACAGAATGATATTCTTACCTTTGTTAGTTGCCTTAATTAGTTAACAGAATGATATTCCTACCTTTGTTTGTTGCCTTAGTTAGTTAACAGAATGATATTCCTACCTTTGTTTGTTGCCTTAGTTAACAGAGTGATATTTGTACCTTTGCCTTAGTTAGTTAACAGAATGATATTCCTACCTTTGTTTGTTGCCTTAGTTAACAGATTGATATTCCTACCTTTGTTTATGGTCTTAGTTAACAGAATGATATTCATACCTTGCTAATTGCCTTGGTTAACAGAATAATATTCCGATCTTTATTTGTTGCCTTGGTTAACAGGAGGATATTATTACATTTGTTTGTTGCCCTGGTTTACAGAATGATATTCCTACCTTTGTTTGTTGCCTTGGTTAAAAGAATGATATGCCTACCTTTGCTAGTTGCCTTGGTTAACAGAATCATATTCATACCTTTGTTAGTTGCCTTGGTTAACAGAATGATATTCCTACATTTGTTAGTTGCCTTGGTTTACAGAATAATATTATTCCTACCTTTGTTAGTTGTCTTGGTTTACAGAATGATATTCCTACCTTGTAATTTGTCTTTGTTAACAGAATGGTATTCCTACATTTGTGTGTTGCCCTGGTTAACAGAATGATATTCCTATCTTTGTTTATTGCCTTGGTTAACAAAATGATATTCATACCTTTGTTTGTTGTCCTGGTTAACAAAATGATATTCATATCTTTGTTAGTTGCCTTGGTTTACAGAATGATATTCATACCTTGCTAGTTTCCTTGGTTAACAGAATGATATTCCTATCTTTGTTTGTTGCCCTGGTTAACAGAATGATATTCCTACCTTTGTTAGTTGCCTTGGTTAACAGAATGATATTCCTACCTTTGTTTGTTGCCTCTTTAAGTAGTTCAGCTGGTAGTAGACTGCAGAGAAATATTTTGACTGTAAAACAAAGGGCCCTTTTTGTTGTTAAAATATACATTGTAATGGCATAAATAATATCATACGGTGTATCAATGTCAGTAAAGCAGTTCCAAAACCAATTAAGGTTATATAAAATTGTCAATTATTTCTCCATGCACACAACATTGTCAGCATAAATGAGGCAAAAAGTACACACATGAAAACTTTAATTATTCTTGCATTTTTATTATAACTTCTATTCAAATTGCAGACCAATTTAAATGTAGTTGGTTTGTTTGTTATCTTTTATTTTCTATGTGATTGGCATCTGAAAAAGAACTTCATCTTTCAACTAAAGTATGCAGGTAAACAATTTTATTTAAAAAGCTTATCATATCAAAATGAAATGTACAGCTTAGTGATTCTGAATATATGAGGAAAATTGTCTTTGAATTTTAAGGTTTCTGTAAACCGACATATTTTACTCTATTAGCCTTTCCTAGCTGCAAAGTGCACACTAACATTTTTAACTTTGTTGAGATTTTCTTTAAAGAGAAAATACAAGTTAAAACATTTATGACATTTTTATTTTGTTATTTGTTAATGCATGAGTGTCACAAAAATAAATCACTGGTGAAAATTAGTTTATTTACAAACTTTTCAGGGACTTGATCATTTCAGGTAATATATGCCTAAATTTTGAAAATATCAAAATGCTGATTTTTGAAATATGTGGTCATACCGGTAGTAAGAAAAAAAAAGTTCCTACTTTTACCATTAATGGTGTGGCCAATACAGGGATAATACTGGCAATAGACAAAATGAATTATTTTTTCTCCTTCTATTTAGTGATTTTCAAATTTTTTTGGGAAATTCATCAAACATAAGTGGTTTCATGAAATAAGTTCCAATTGTGGACACAAAAATGTTTTACCTGTTAGTTTAAGGTCTCCTCTTTCCTCCTCAGGTAAAGTTTCTATAAATTTATCATTATTACATGTCAGTTCTGTCTGGTACTATAATAAACACACAAACAGATTACATATTCATGTATATACTTTTTCACTTTTTTGGTCTTTTGGAAAATGTTGTTTGTGCTGTATTTAGACCCCTTTACCAAGAAATTTGTTTTGCATGCACACATATAAAAATTGTGGTTTTTTATCCAACGCAATCATAGGATTGAACATTGTTTTCAATTTAGACTTGTTTATATTTTTTTCGTTTGGGCTTGTATTATATTTGCCTTCGGGTTTATATAATCCGTTCATCCTATTTCGACTCTTGAAAATTCAAGTGTCTATCCTAAATTGAGGTAAATTATATGGCCTTCCTAACATCACTGAAGAGACATTAATTGTCGAAATCCGGCTATGGTGTACAAATTCTTGCACCTCATGTTTGCGGTATACCATCTTTTCCGCAAGTTTATTGTTTTCTGTTTGGTATTAAATTAATAATTAAGATCCATTTTGTTACATCTGGTGATTCGTTTATTTTGGCAATGGCCATGGCAGTCAGCAGGGTTTAAGAACATCCGTTGTTCGACCTGTTAGTCAAATGTGTTTTGTTAAAATATACTTTTTCACTTTTTTGGTCTTTTGGAAAATGTTGTTTGTGCTGTATTTAGACCCCTCTACCAAGAATTTTGTTTTGCATGCACACGTATAAAAATTGCGGTTTTATCCAACGCAATCATAGGTTTGAGCTTGTTTTCAATTTAGACTTGTTCAGATTACATATACATATATATATATATATATATATACAAAAGTTGACATACATTGTTAGTCAGCACATCCATCCAAGTATAAAAAATCTTTCATCTTATATCAAATTTCTCTATTAAAGGATGGCAACGGCATTTAAATTATTGTGAATGTTCAGGCTTTAAAAAAATTTTACAGGCAACTTAATCTATAGAAAGGTGTGATAATTTCTAACGTTTAAAAATTTACTTGTAAAAGAAGGAATTGCATTCACTTTTCCAAGAAAGACCCCTGACTAATTATACTAATTTAATTTATAATTAAAGACTATTCTTTTCTGGTTTTACTGTTTAGTTGGGTTGCTGTTTTATTGAAATATGTCTCCTTTTATCAATATACATGTTGTAATGCAGATCTATAAAGCAATCAGCAGTTATTTGAAATCCTATGACATTTACAATTCCAAACAAGAAAATGTTACTTACATTGTAGATCTAAGAAAATGTTACTTACATTGTAGATCTAAGAAAATGTTATTTACATTGTAGATCTAAGAAAAAGCTACTTACATTGTAGATCTAAGAAAATGTTACTCACATTGTAGATCTAAGAACAATGTTACTTACATTGTAGATCTAAGAACAATGTTACTTACATTGTAGATCTAAGAACAATGAAATATTTCTGTCATTAAGTTGCTGTCTAATTGATGTCTACCCCACATTTCCTTTGATCATATTTGTATCCAGTGATATATGCGTTGTTTGTGTTGCTCAGTCTCAAGTTAATTATATGTAGTGTTTTGTGCAATTTTTTTTCTTTTTCCATGGTGTTAATGGCGTTGTCAGTTTCTCTTCAACAAAAGAGTTTTGTATGTCTCCTTGATATCTTCCACCTTTTTTTAATTACATTATTCAGATAACATGTTTGCAGTGTCCTACATTATATTTCTTTCTGTGTATTTGGTGTAGCTATAAATTGAAGTATTTCTGTGTGCACAGGTTATTTCAGTCTTTTCAAGTAAATTTTGTAAATGGAATTGTATTTCTTATACACAACCAAATACATTTTCATATTCTCTGCAATTTTCTTCCTTTTACCTGTAACTGATTTTTATCTGTAGCATCAATGATAGATCTGAAAGTTGATCCAACACTCTCAGTTATCTGAAAAATATGAAATCATCACTTGTGTTATAAAGTTAACAAACAATAAATTATATGATTATCTACCATTGATAAAACAATTATTTTTATATTTTGATTGTTTTATATTATGATGTTCTCAAATAAAATTGATATAATTTATAGTAATAAGATATCAAATACACTGTGGATTCATATATTTTTGTGGATACAAATTTTCATGAATTGAGGAAAAATAGTATTTTTGTGGATATTCGATTTCAAGGTTTAGGTAATTATAATGTCTCCACACAGACCTATAGAAAATTTGTACTTCGTTCGACTTTAAAATTTGTGGTTTACCTATACTCCTGAAATCCATGAAAATTGATATCCTACAAATTATAATAAATCCACAGTAGCACCAAATGTAAAGTCATTTTATCTAAGCTTAAGACTAGCTGTCAGTAACTGCGAGTACTCTCAGATCTGTACTTCATGTACTTAGTGTCTTTTTGTTGTTGGGATGTACAAGTACCTGTCCAAGTCTACACTGTGTTTTTGTTGGATGTATTTCTATTTGAATCCATCTGATGAGTTAATAGATATAAGAAGATGTGGTATGAGTGCCAATGAGACAACTCTCCATCCAAGTCAAAATTTATAAAAGTACATATAAACCATTAAAGGTCAAAGTACGGTCTTCAACACAGAGCCTTGGCTCACACCGAACAGCAAGCTATAAAGGGCCCCAAAAATTACTAGTGTAAAACCATTCAAATGGGAAAACAAACAGTTTAATCTATATAAAAAACGAGAAACACTTATGAACCACATCAACAAACGACTACTGAACATCAGATTCCTGACTTAGGACAGGTGCAATCAATTGCAGCGGGTTTAAACGTTTTAATGGTACCAAACCTTTACCCTTATCTGAAACAATAGTGTAACATCACAACAAAGACAGACACACTATAAAATATCAATTGAAATGGCTTAACTCAATCAAGAGACATATTAACACGTACAGTGAACATACACTGAACAAATAAATTTGATCTTTGATACAATGTAAATAATGTAAATAAGCCTTTTTCAACTGATTTTTATAGTGTGTTCTTATGTTGTACTGTTACACCACTGTCCCAGGTTAGTGGAGGGTTGGGTGCCCTCTAACATGTTTAACCCCGCCACATTCTGTATGTGCCTGTGTCAAGTCAGGAGCCTGTAATTCAGTGGTTGTCGTTTGTTGCTGTGTTACATATTTTTTTTTTCGCTCATTATTTTGTACTTAAATAAAGCTTTGCTCATTGATGAAGGCCGTACCGTGACCTATAGTTGTTAATTTCTGTGTCACTTGGTCTCTTGTGGAGAGTTGTCTCATTGGCAATCATACAACACCTTCTTTTTTATATATAAGGTATGATATGTATGTCATATACCAGTAAACAATAATTTTAAATAAGTTCCTTTTTCACAATGATTTTGTCATGTTTAGAAAACATATAACAGTTATTTTTTCCCCAAAATTGCACCAATTGACGATATTTCTTTTACTTGCTCTTACTTGACAGAGTACCAGAATGTCCTACCTAAGAGTAGGTAACCTGTTGAAAAATTGTATACTACAGAGTCAAAAGTTGGTACAATGTATATACATGATATAAGTCTATTTCTAAACATTTTTTTTTTTAAGTATCATTTAATATTTTCTTGTATTATCTTCATAATGTATTTATACGAAAGAAGGAAAAAAACTCCAGTCGTAATTAATCATGTTAACTAATATAAAATAAATATTTACAAGTAAAACAGAACCCACTTGCATATATTATTTGTAGAGATTTAATTTTTTTTTTTCTTTTCTTTTAAAAAATTAACTGTAGATCAAAAGTTATAGGAGCTACCAGGTTAAAGAACACTAAAAAATTTAAGTTATTGTTTACTTCTAGAAGTGTCATCCTCAAGCTTGATGTATAATTTAATCCCAGCACACAGTTTTCTCATCATAATTCCTGTGAAATAGGGCAAAATCAGATATATGCAAATTTGCAGGAAACTGTATGCTCTACAACATGGCAGTCTCCATCAGAGTGAATGCATCTGTGCAACTGTTGTAAAAAAGGTTAATGATTTGGGATTCACTACTGACACTAGTACAAAACATGTTTAATGATTTGTCTTTCGACTGTTACCAGGACTCTGCCCTCTTTTATCAAGAATATTTAACTTTAATATATCTAAACAGGAAACATATTTTTACAATTCATCTAGATCAGTGAAAAAATGATTTGTCATGTTGTTCTAAATTTTGACACAGTTAATGACAGTATTTATTGCTAAGTTTCATGCTATTTGTCAAACTGATAAACACATGCTATTAACCTGTTAATTGTAATAATGTCTGATACTAAAAAATCTAGACCCGATTAATTAAGTTACAAATTATAGTTACTTCCAGATCGGCCCACAAAAAAAATAATTAAGAAACAAACACTAAAATGTGCATAGAGAATTTAAACCTCTGTAGTTGGTGTTTCATTTGCTTTCCTCTTCAATCTGTTCCAGTGAACAATGTTCCCTGTGTGCACAACCACTGAACCAACTTTTGGTATAACTAAGGGAACAACGGTAGATTCCTCTGTCATTCTGGTTACTACAGCCAAGAAACCAAACGGTGTTGTTCCTCGATGTAAGTTTAATCTTTAATAAGCAAATTCGAACTTCCCTTTTTTAAAACACTGTGTAGAGTTCCAATAAACGTTCCTAAATATAAACCGGATATGGTCTTTGAATCCGTTTTTGCTTAATTGGTGTTTTCTTCGACGTCCGCGTTTAGTCGAGTTTTACCAGAGACATAAGATCATTTATGTCATTTTTAAGACAAATTTTATTTAAATGCTCATAGTGACTTTTGCAAATTTTGGAAACTACAAGTAAACATAAACAAACCAAAAGCCATTATATTTAACTCAGAATCCATGACAAATCGCCCCACTGGCAAATCGCCCCACACCTAATCGCCCCACTTTTTCACCAACTCGCCCCACTTTTAAAAAAATCGCCCCACTCTTGTTTACCAACTCGCCCCACTTATGAAAAGAGTAAAATCCCATTGAAAATAGGTTGGATAACATGCCCCACTCATGTAAAAGGTTAAAATCACGCTGAAATAAGGTCTGCCAACTCGCCCCACTCATGACAAATAGATAAACCACGATGAATTTAGTAATGCCAACTCGCCCCACTTATGGAAAAAGATGCTATCCCGTTGTATATGTTCCTGCCACTTATAAATAAAATCAATACCTATGAAAACCTTAGATAAACATCATTTGTAATTCTTTTCTTTTTGTTTTTCTTTTCTTTTTGTTTAAATAAAGCAGTAAGAAGTGAGTACCAGTATTTCGGTGACGTGAATGTCAACTCGCCCCACTTGTGAAAAATAGAAAAATTCTGATGAATTGAGTTATCCCAACTCGCCCCACTTATGAAAAATAGGAAAATCCTAATATTGAGTCATGCCAACTCTCTACACTTATGAAAAAGGAAGTAATACCGTTGAATTTATGTCTGCCAACGTACCCAACTGATAAATAAAAGTATGAATAGAATTAATGGCTACCAACTAGCCCCACTTATGAATAAAATGATTAAACTGTAATGAGTGTAGGCCTTCCAATTCTGCCCACTTATGAAAACGATAGAAATGCATCTTTTTTTTTTTGGTTCTTTTCTTTTGGTTGAAATAAAACAGAAAAAAGGTAGCATCAGCATTTATGTGACGTTTTTTTCCTGCATGACATTTTAACATTCAACTATATTAGGAGTGCTTAATATAAATTGGAATTTAAATGTTATCATATTGGTTTCTGATGGATACTTGTCTCATTGGCAATTATAGCAATCTGCTTATTTTTATGTAGATTTCTTATTCTCAATAACATTATATTGTAACGGTTTATTTCTTCCTCTGTGATATTTTATCCTGGGGATAATTTGTCACAGAAATTTACTATTTTAAGTCTTAAAATAAAAGGGTTTACCTTTACGTTGTACGTTAAGTGGGGCGAGTTGGCAGGAGTAATATTAACGGGATTTAACCCTTTTCAAAAGTGGGGCGATTTTTTAAAAAGTGGGGCGAGTTGGTAAACCAGTTGGGGCGATTTTTTTAAAAGTGGGGCGAGTTGGTGAAAAAGTGGGGCGATTAGGTGTGGGGCGATTTTCCAATGGGGGGATTTGTCCTGCTTCCTTTAACTCAAATGGCAAAACCCATAATATTTTTTTAAATATAATAATAAATTCCTGGAAACAGTTAATTATTAAATCTGGGACTGTTTAAAAAAGGGACGACATCAAAAGCTAGATCAATGTAGGAGGGGGGGGGGGGGGGGGGGGGTCAGTGAAAAAACTATGTGAATTAAGTTTTTTATCCTACATTGAACTTTTGATGTCGTCCCTTATACCATGGAAGTATTATATTGTCAATATAATACTTCCATGATTATACCAACAAGAGGCTCTCAAGAGCCTGAATCGCTCACCTGTTATTTTTTTTGCTTAAATCTTTCATCAATGATTATTTTTGCTTTTTAACCATATGTTCCATTTTAGCCATAGTGTATATGTTTCTTGAGGTACAAGGAAATGAAATACAAAATTTATACTAGATTCATTTGAGATGATTTTTAAAGTTAAAAAACATAAAACAACTTGTGTAAAAATTGTCCTTAAAGGGCAATAACTCCTTAAGGGGTCAATTGACAATTTTGGTCATATTAAACTTTTTTGTAGATCTTACTTTGCTGAACATTTTTGCTGTTTACAGTTTATCTTTATCTTCAATAATATTCAAGATAATAACCAAAAACTGCAAAATTTCCTTAAAACAACCAATTTAGTGGCAGCAACCCAACAATGGGTTGTTCGGTGTGTCTGAAAATTTCAGGGCTGATAGATCCTGACCTTTTGAACATTTTTACCCCATGTCAGATTTGCTCTAAATGCTTTAGTTTCTGAGATATACGCCAAAAACTGCATTTCACCCCTATGTTCTATTTTTAGCCATGGCGGCCATGTTTGTTGATGGATCAAAATTTCTTATACAATTCATAAACTAGTTTCCTAAAGGAACATTCATTCAAAGTTAAGAAGTATTAGGCACAATAGTTTCAGAGGAGAAGATTTTTAAATGTTAGCAAACTTGATGAACACATTGCGTAAAATTGTCTTTAAAGGGACATAACTCCTTAAGGGGTCAATTGACAAATTTGGGCATTTAACTTTTCTGTAGATCTTACTTTGCTGAACATTATTGCTGTTTACAGTTTATTTCTATATATAATAATATTCAAGATAATAACAAAAAACAGCAAAATTTCCTCAAAACTACCAATTTAGTGGCAGCAACCCAACAATGGGTTGTTCGATTTGTCTGAAAATTTCAGGGCTGATAGATCTTGACCAATTGAACAATTTTACCCATGTCAGATTTGCTCTAAAAGCTTTAGTTTTGGAGATATAAGCCAAACATAGCATTTGACCCCTATGTTCTATTTTTAGCCATGGCGGCTATGTTTGTCGATGGATTAAAACTTCGGATACAATTTATAAACTAGATATCCTAAGGAACATTTAGATGAAGTTTGAAGGTATTTTGCCCGGTATTTTCAGAGGAGAAGATTTTTAAATGTTAGCAAACTTGATGAACAAATTGTGTAAAATTGTCTTTAAAGGGCAATAACTCCTTAAGGGGTCAATTGAAATTTTGGTCATATAAACTTTTTTGTAGATCTTACTTTGCTGAACATTATTGCTGTTTACAGTTTATATCTATCTATAATAATATTCAAGATAATAACAAAAAACTGCAAAATTTCCTTAAAACTACCAATTTTGTGACAGCAACCCAACAATGAGTTGTTTGATTCGTCTGAAAATTTCAGGGCTGGTAGATCTTGACCAATTGAACAATTTTACCCCATGTCAGATTTGCTCTAAAAGCTTTAGTTTTTGAGATATAAGCAAAAAACTGCATTTGACCCCTATGTTCTATTTTTAGCCATGGCGGCCATGTTTGTCGATGGATCAAAACTTCGGATACAATTTATAAACTAGATACCCTAAGGAGTATTTAGTTAAAGTTTGAAGGTATTTGGCCAAGTAGTTTCAGAGGAGAAGATTTTTGAAATAGTTTACGACGACAGACGACAACAGACGACGGACGCCAAGTGATGGCATAAGCTCACATGGGGCCCTTCGGGCCCCGGTGAGCTAACAATATATTATGTCCCAGTTTAAATCATACTGCTATCTTGGCTCGACACAACAATATACAGGGAATCTTAACCTATGCAGCTCATTGCGAAGTTGTGGAAAAGGGCAGAAAAGCCCTTTTTTTTTAATAAATAAAATAACCAAACCAGTTGGACTTAATAACACATGCAAGTTATTAAAGAAAATATTTGCCCCCCTTGTTGTGCCTATTGCTCTATACGGTAGTGAAGTATGGGGAATATGGAAACAACGTAGGGATTCAGATCCCTTTGAACATTAGCAATTTAAATTTTGATATTAAAGAAATTCTAGGAGTACATTGCAAAACATCAAATGCCGCATGTTTAGTCGAGCTGAACAGATTGCCCTAATGATACCAGAATAGAATCTTCACCAATAAAGTATTGGATCCATATACTAGAGTCAAATAATTCACTTACTCTAAAAATATACAAAGCAAATGAAAAACACAACTCATGGATAATAAATATGAAAAATCTTATTTTAAAACTTGGATTTTATTTTATTAATCTAAATCCTTTTGATTCTGACATCGGACTCTGACTTCTTTTTAACTGAGATTTACTGTGCGTATTGCTGTGTGTTTAAAATTGAGAATGGAAATGGGGAATGTGTCAAAGAGACAACAACCCGACCATAGAGCAGACAACAGCCGAAGGCCACCAATGGGTCTTCAATGCAGCGAGAAACTCCCGCACCGGGAGGCGTCTTTCAGCTGGCCCCTAAACAAATATGTATATTAGTTCAGTGATAATGGACGTCATATTAAACTCCAAATTATACACAAGAAACTAAAATTAAAAATGATACAAGACTAACAAAGGCCAGAGGCTCCTGACTTGGGACAGGCGCAAAAATGCGGCGGGGTTAAACATGTTTTTTGAGATCTCAATCCTCCCCCTATACCTCTAGCCAATGTAGAAAAAACAAACGCACAACAGTACGCACAGTAAAACTCAGTTTGTTTATTTTACATTGGCTAGAGGTATTGGGGGGGGGGGGGGGAGATCTCACAAAACATGTTTAACCCCGCTGTCCCAAGTCAGGAGCCTCTGGACTTAGTTAGTCTTGTGGTTTTTTTTTTAAATTTTAGTTCATTTATATGTTTCGGAGTTTAGTGTGACGTCCATTTTCACTGAGCTAGTACACATTTTCGTTTAGGGGCCAGCTGAAGCTCGCCTCCGTGTGCGGGATTTTCTCGCTGTGTTGAAGACCCATTATAGTGGCCTTGGGCTGTTTTCTGCTCTTTGGTCGGTTTGTTGTCTCTTTGACACATTCCCCATTTCCATTCTCAATTTTGTTATGCAAGTTAAGGATACGTGCTCATTCTTAATAAGTTGAAAAAGGGCGATATTTAAATATACCGAAGCAGAGTAGGATATGTCTTTGCTGCAAAAATTGAGACCGTGACATTGATGAACTATATTTTCTTTTAAAATGATCTACCTATAAATATTTGAGAGATAACCTCATTACAAAATTAAATAATTTGTCTATTCAACTTCCAAGATAAAAGCTAAAAACAGCAAAAATGGATAATATCTCCTATGAGGGAGTTGATAAACGATTTCGATTATTTTGACCTTTGTGATTTGCATGGTTTGGCTGATAATTTGTTTACTTTTAACAATTTTCTTCGTCTATTACATCCTCAAAGATGCTAAAAATGAGTAAACAATAATAAAGATAGTCATTTAGGACAATTAGTCCTATAGGTGTCATTTAACATTTCTGTCATCTTGACTTATTTTTAAATCTTGTCTTGCTGATCCCCATTATTGCTTGTCGAGATTAATAATTCTTCCTCTTCCATGGGTAACCTGCTTTACGCCTCTACCGCTTTGTCACAGGCTTGATGCTGCATGTTTACCAGGAAACAGCATCAAAACCAAACCAGAATACTAGTATGAACAATTATTTTAATTGTTCAAAGTGTACGGTATTTTTGGGAGACAAAGCATCATCTACTGTTGATGCTGCAACAGCCTCAGCTGGTAACTCATTCCACAGTCTTATTGTGGATGGGATTTAAACGACTAATGGTGGCATTGTTTCCTGGAATACTGGAGTTTGTACCTTTTGCTATGGCCTCTGGAGGTTGAGGTTTCTCCTCGTGGAATGAGGTATTGTTGGGTTGGAATAGGCAACACCGGATGGACTATTCTATAGAGCATGCTGGGGTTTCTCCTCACCTTCATTGAAGACCATTCAAGGTGCTAAATTTGAGAGACAACAAATGTAAACTACATGGTAATTTAGAATGTTGGCTTTTAGTGTTATAAGAATATAGAATACCTTCTTTTTGTCAATGTTGTCCCAGCTCTTTTACTCTTTATGAAGCTCCAAAATAGCTTAGGATTGTTGATACTAACCTCATCTAGCATGTTGGGCTTCTTATAAATTGAATCTTTTCCAGTCTCTTTGTTTTATTTTTTACGCCTTGAAAGCTATTTAATTCCTCATCTATTGTAATTTCAAATAAAAGCAAAATCACCGTTCAAAAAAATGGTCAATAACTCAAAACAAAAAATCCATTGAAAATGTTTGTCAATTGATTGTTTTGGTAATACGGTAATCATTTTTGCTCTGTACATGCTGTTTCTGTCTGTCTAGAATAGTTTTCAAGAAATTATGCAAAAATGCTAAAATTATTACTTGAAAATAAATCATCCAAAGGAAATAGAATTGAGAATGGAAATGGGGAATGTGTCAAAGAGACAACAACCCGACCATAGAGCAGACAACAGCCGGAGGCCACCAATGGGTCTTCAATGCAGCGAGAAACTCCCGCACCCGGAGGCGTCCTTCAGCTGGCCCCTAAACAAATATGTATACTAGTTCAGTGATAATGGACGTCATACTAAACTCCAAATTATACACAAGAAACTAAAATTAAAAATGATACAAGACTAACAAAGGCCAGATTTTTTGTCCGAGTCAGAATTTTTTTTTATTTAAGGAAAAAGCCATAACCCCCAACTTGAAGTTTAAAGGTTCTTCCCCTAGTTATCCTCTTCCCAGATCATAGTAAGGGCTGATAGTTTTAATTAAAAACAAGAAGTCACAAAATAACTAATTTGGTTTAATTAAAATATTTTGTTTTAATTTTGAAGATGAATCCTCTCATAAATTTAATTGAAAAAATTCTAAACACAGAAACTCTGGCCCAGGCACTGATAGTTTGAATTTTCACGAAAAGAAACAACACAAAAATATCATAATTTTTTACATTAAATTCATTTGACATGAACTGATTGATACTTTAGTCTGGAAGAACATGACTTATCTATCTTTGAACTAGCTTTCAGTAAGTGTTAGTATAAGATCAATACTCTTATCTTTTTGCCTTTATGTAATTAATTGTTTGGGCTTAGTTTCAATCTAATCAAGCCATTTCCAACTGGTTCCAGTCCAAGGTCTGTTTTTTTGTTTTTTCTGTTTATTATTTGTTTTTTTTTGGGAAGGGGGGGGTGTTACATGCACACCAACATGTTTAACCCTGCCATAATCCTAAACAATTATTTCTTTATATATCCAAGTGAATTAGACATCAAAGATACATGTACCTCTAAAACAAGAAAGTCTGCTTCATATCTGGTTATTTCTTGAAAGTGATACAGAAGGACGACCACATACTATGCTCTATGACAAACATGAAGATTTCAGAATCCCCATTTCTCAGTAGACATACCTCTATCCAAGGATTTACATATCTCAATAGATACATTACAGATGTGCATATTCACACAATACTGACTTCATTGGCATAGTTTGCTCATGGGACATAAACTTATCCAAATGGGTTATGTTAGGCCGTTAGTTTTCTCAATTGAACTGTTTCATATTTTTCATGTCAGGACCTTGTATAGCTGACTACACGGTATGCATTTTTCTCATTGTTGAAGGCCGTACGATTACCTATAATTGCTGACATCCACTTCATTTGATCTTTGGTAGATAGTTGCCTCATTGGCACTCATACCACATCTCCTTACTTTTATATGAGAAAAAGTTTTATTCATAATATCATAGATCTGTGCATTGATGTGTTCTTGTCACAACTCCAGATTTTGAGGCAAGTTTTCTATTGCACATTACAAGACTAATCTTCTAATCTTTGAACTTACTGATGGGTTCCATTACCTATTGTGACATTTTGACAAAGTTTACCCGAGGTGGTTTGGGCTGTTTTGTTTAAGGCCCTTTTAGTCATATAGCTTCAATAGTATTAAATACATAGCTTGGCTTCCAAATATCAGGTTTTGTACATTTTCTAATGAAGTTAAATCTAGAAAAATGTGTCAGATGCACCAAAATTAAATATTGTTATTTTAGTAAGTTTAGATTTGTATGGCATATCATCCAATGATGCATGAATAGCAGGGAAACTTTCCCTGTCAACAGTCCTTTTGGAGTTCTTGCAAACATGACATTTACCGTACTTAGTTTGCCTAGTAAAAATGAAGTTGCGAGATATTAACATCAGTAAACTGTTTGCCACTTAAATACCGGTAATAGAAATAATTCAGTAACATGAAGTTTTATTACAATGACAGTAAGGGGAGAAATTTTAGGTAAGCCTGCAGAAGTTATATAAGTAGAACTGTGAGTAAAAGTAAATGTTGGGTATATATCAATAAGACAGCAACCAAACAATACAGACAACATCTAAATGTCATCATAGAGCCATGCATATGGCACACATACATTTTTCATTGTAGAAATGCAATTCTATTAAAAAAATACCAATATCTAATACTCCTATAACAATAAAATCTGGAAAAAACCTAGCACTCGATTAGTAGTAATGGAGGATTTCAAATGGCTGGATGGATCATTCCCTCCCCCCCCCCTTACTAATTACTATTTATACACCCTCTGATTGATCGACATATACACCCCTTTGGTTGGATGATATTAGTTGCAGTACAAAGTATAGCTTCAAGCTTTCTCATTTATATAGAAGTTGTACAAAATTAGCTTTCTCATTTGTATAGAAGTTGTACAAAATTAGCTTTCTCATTTGTATAGAAGAGATACAAAATTAGCTTTCTTATTTGTATAGAATTTGTACAAAATTACTTCCAACTTTACCCAATAGTACCTTACTTTGCTTAACTTTAATCAAATAATTTGCAATCTTTCCAAACTACCCGGTATGATCTATGACAAACATAAAGATTTCGGATTCCCCATTTCTCAGTAGACATACCTCTATCCAAAGATTTACATATCTCAATAGATACATTACACATATGCATATTCACATAATACTGACTTCATTGGCATAGTTTGCTCATGGGAAATAAACTTATCCAAATGAATCATCTCCCCCTCACCAATTACTATTTATACACCCTCTGATTGATCGACGTATACACCCCTTTGGTTGAATGATATTAGTTGCAGTACAAAGTATAGCTTATAGCTTTCTCATTTTGTAGAAGTTGTACAAAATTAGCTTTCCCATTTGTATAAAGTTGTACAAAATTAGCTCACTCATTTGTATAGAAGTTGTATAAAATTAGCTTTTTCATTTGTATAGAAGTTGTACAAAATTAGCTTTCTCATATGTATAGAAGTTGTACAAAATTAGCTTTCTCATTTGTATAGAAGTTGTACAAAATTAGCTTTCTCATTTGTATAGAAGTTGTACAAAATTAGCTTTCTCATTTGTATAGAAGAGATACAAAATTAGCTTTCTTATTTGTATAGAATTTGTACAAAATTACATCCAAATTTACCCAATAGTACCTTTATTTGCTTAACTTTAATCAAATAATTTGCAATCTTTCCAATTTTCAGACTTCTTTTTATCTGTATTCTTATATAACCAAGAAAAAAAAATTGATCAATACTTCTAAAGCATGTCTTGATTGAACCTAAATGTATGTTTCACTGATTAAAATCAGATCAGAGAATTTTAATCAATGTTTATGGATCTTATTTTACAAAAGCCTGATACAGAGTTTATTTAGCAGCAGCAGCCTTGACTTGAGCTTGCTGAAACTGTTGCTGTAATTTAGTAATGCCTTCTTTACAGGTGTCTTGTTTCTTCTCTAAATCTTTTATTGATTCTTCATGTCTTTTTCTAAAAAATATAAAATACCATATTTAATCCTGAATGCTGGCATGTACTCATTTAACCTCATCATTGTTAATCTTCTGTCAGACATGGTTATGCTATAGCCAGTATAACAAATAATTATTTACAATGATATTATTAATGCTGATTATTCCCCATGCAAAACATTGCTCAGACACCAAAAATAACATCAAATTGTAATACAGACTAAACACACATTGTTTAAAATGATGAAAACCTTTAACAACACATTATGCTTTTGAAAATTTCAGAAAAATGAGAAAAATTCAACAAACAACTTCATAATAACAGGTTTACAATGTCAACATGAGCACAATCTTTCTGTGAGGTTTCAGGGATCTTGGTTAAAAACTGTAGGAGGACTTGATTACTGGTACCATGTTTTGTAAAAGTTGCTGAAAAATGACTTTATAATCCGCATGTCTGGAAAAAATAGACATACAACAATTCCATAATAGCTGGTGCACAACTTTAACATGTGTGCAAGGTTTCTGTGAAGTTTCAGAGAAGTTGATTACACAAAATAAGGTATCCACTTTCCCCCGCCAGTCCGCCAAACATCATCAAACTATAAGCCGGTTCTGAACTTTGTCCAACTTAACCAAAAATCATATTGCCTTTTTCTGGGGGTATTTCTAAGCCAGGATAAACCTGGGCCCTAGTACTACACTGTCAATCCTGCCCAAGGGTGAAATTGAAGTCAAGGGCAAGTAACAAGGTCTATTATAAATAATCTGTTAACACAGAGATACATGTTGTATGTCTCACCTTTTTGTTATTTTAATAGTACAAGAGTGCACACGCTGAAATGTCTCGCCTTCTTTACTAACCATTGATTTTATGTTGATAGTCCTAAATACAAAGCTTTACTACAAGTAACACATAAACTTAACATGATCCAAGAAAATGAGGTCAAGGTCAGATAAACCAAACGAGAAATACATGTACACCTTACAATCATTCAATAAACCAAACATAGTTGACCTATTGCTTATTGTTTCTAAGAAACAGTCTTAAACAAGAAAACGTAACATTGACCAATTAACCATGAAAATGAGGTCACGGTCAGATGAACCATGCCAGACAGACATGTACACCTTACAATCAATTTAGGCATTAAATATAGTTGACCTATTGCTTATAGTACTTAACAATGAAAACTTAACATTGACCAATGAACCATGAAAATGAGGTCAAGGTCAGATGATACCTGCCAGACACCTTACAATCCTTCCGTACATCAAATATAGTTGATCTATTGCTTATAGTTGAAGAAAAACAGACCAAAACACAAAAACTTAACACTGAGAAATGAACCGTGAAAATAAGGTCAAGATCAAATAAAACCTGTGAGACTGACATGTACATCATAAAATATTTCCATACACCATTTATAGTTGACCTATTGCATATAGTATTAGAAAAAAAGACCAAAACTCAAAAACTTAACTTTGACCACTGAACCATGAAAATGAGGTCAAGGTCAGATGACACCTACCAGTTGGACATGTACACCTTACAATCATTCCATATACCAAATATAGTAGACCTACTGCTTATAGTATCTGATATATGGACTTGACCACGAAAACTTAACCTTGTACACTGATCCATGGAATGAGGTCGAGGTCAAATGAAAATTGTCTGACAGGCATGAGGACCTTGCAAGGTACGCACATACTAAATATAGTTATCCTATTACCCATAATAAGAAAGAAATTAACATTACAAAAAATGTTATCATTTTTTTTCAAGTAGTCACTGAACCATGAAAATGAGGTCAAGGACAATTGACATATGACAGACGGAAACTTCGTAACATAAGGCATCTATATACAAAGTATGAAGCATCCAGGTCTTCTAGCTTCTAAAATATAAAGCTTTTAAGAAGTTAGCTACCACCGCCACCGCCGTAGGATCAATATCCCTATGTCGAGCTTTCTGCGACAATAGTCGCAGGATCGACAAAAATGAAAATGTTGAAATCAAAATAGCAATACTTTAACATGTAAATTATGCAAAATATTCAAAATCAATGAACCAATGCTATTACAACTACATATCAAATACATTGACCTAACACTAGTGGTTCCCCATAAACTGACCTAATCAGAAACTAATACATGTAAACTAAGCAAAATTTTCAAAGTCAATAGACCGTTACTAAGGGAAGGGGTCAAATAATCTCCATGGAAATGAGAAGTGCAAAGGTAATAAAAATGCACACCAAATATCATTGACCTAACATTAATTGGTTACCCATAAGCTGCCGCCGAAAACAGCATGCCTATGTCTTGCTTTTTGACTCTGTCAAGGCAAGACAAAAACTGCCATTCGCTTTTTTGTCATTTCTAGGTGACATTTAAGTGGGGACAAATAATGGAGTTTATTTGCATTTGTTTATTAATAATAGTGCCAACTTACACAAGATCAGCAATATAGTCTATTCTTTTCTGTACATTTGACTTGGACTCATCTAAATTTTGTTTGACCAGAACAGGTCCAATCATTTTATATACACTGGCATCTTTTTCTAATCTGTCAAGCTCCTAAAATAAATATTTAAAGTATTTTTTTCCCTGTATTACCAGTACTAGAAGTACCATATCCTGATACTCTGAAATATCCTTTTATGTTTATACATCCTGTACAGCCAAACAAATCACATTTACATAATTCTGACCAGATGTGATTACATATATTTATACACACAGGCACTTGTATTATAATATATTAAAATATACTAGTACACACCCACGAAATCGCAGGCATTTAGAGCGTGGTTGAATGTATGTAAACTGTTGTAGGATGAATTTTTGTAAAAGATTTTATGACTGGAGAATTTCAGGAAAGGTATCAAAAGTATCTTAAACATGAACTGATGTCAATGTAACATTTTGAACTTTTCACCAGTTCAAAATATTGGATGTAAATCTAAAGAATGTGAACGCAAAGGTCAACTATTTGTAGTAACATGAACGCACAATTTTTAGGAGGCGAGTTGCTTTGTCACCATGCTTTTTGTTTCGTTGTTCAGAAGACAGAATAATCGATATGTTTACCTTTTCAATTTCAGTCACTCGAAACGGATTCCACTAATGAAATCAGATTACTATGTGACATTTGTAAATAAGATTGGAACTATGAATGGAGCCATAACAAAATACTCAATAAACAATGCGATTTGTGCACAAAACCATCATATTTTACTGAAATCTGGAAATGGTGTCAGACTTTTAAGAAACAAATTAATTCTAATATGGGGTGCTTATTACGTCAAATGAATAGAGCCATAATAAAATACTCAATAAACCACAACCACTATAAATCGACGACATCACAATGCGATTTGTGCACAAAAACGTCACATTTTACTGAAATGGCGTCAGACTTTTCAGTGGGAAACTTTACTATATCCATAGATTTTCACATGGCCTGGGTTGTCATATTCATTAATTTTATCCCTTGCTTACGCTCGGGATAAAATTCCAATATAACGACCCAGGCCATGTGAATATTTTCAACAAATCTATGGCTTGCATGAATTATTTCTTAAATAAAACATGATTACATTGTATATATACCGGTTCCAGGGGTCCCAAGAAATCAGATTTTTATCGCTTCCAGGAACTGAAGGAATGTTTGATACCCGTTCCTGTAGCTCAGGTACCCAAAACATTGTATGTAATCAAGTTTACCAAAATTCTGTGCAATTTTAAAGTCCTAAACGGAAGTCTTGTCTATGACTTTTAAAAGTCCGTCCGATGACGGAAATAATATCCGGATGCCTTTATTTTCGTTTTCCTCCCAAAATAACCCAAACAGAATAATCATAAGCGAAGATGACAAATGCGACTATACTAGGTACCTATAGCATGTATAGGAGACAGAGGCATGATGATTAATTTACTGTGGAAGGAAGAGAAGCAACACACAAAATGAGGTCTTCTCATTTAATAGTATAGATTGGTAATTTTTTCTTCAGAATCCTGTGAAGTCAAACAGATGTCAGTGAGAGGTCATTTAAGAACATTTACCTAGAAAAGCAGAGTTCTTCATATACTTTTACAAATATGAAATTCATTGAATATCCGTAATCATACTTGACATGATTACACAAGTACATGTTTACATACAACCATAACAATTTTAGCAATTAAAACCACTCTGAAAGCCATCTTATTTTTCTTTGTAAGTTCATTGTACATGCACTGAGCTGTAGGCCTTATGTTGGCTAATAATAATCAAAACTATACATGTAGAATTGTATTTGATGTCATTAAGTAAATATTTGTGTTGTCAAATTAAACAGTTTTGTCTAACTGGTTACTCGGACAATCTATCGACAGAATTACCGGTCAACCAGTAGTTAAGTTGACGTTTTAAAGGTCTTCTCGATCTGAACTCTACAAATGCAAGGTTTTATGATAAGATGAATTGAAGTTTATGCTTGAACATTATACACATGTAAGGCTTGGCTTTGAGCAGTCCTAGTAAAGTTTTATTTTTATTAATCCCATACTACCATATCTGCTATTGTGTTTGTAATAACTTCATATGGAGAAGATGAAAATCTTCTTGATCTGGGCGAGTTGACAAAGTTTGAAATCGGTGAATGTTTCATTTTCTCTGGTGTCTCAGAAAATTCTATGGAGTCTTTCAATTGATCTGTCAAATTTATTAGCATGATTTACTACCATTTAAAAAATTTATTAATAATTTCAATACACATTTATATCAAATATTTAAAATTGAAAAAAAGTCTGGTTAACTGATAAGCGTTTTTTGGTATTCGATCTTCGGTCATTCCGACGGTTAACCGTTGACAACACAAGTAAACATATATGATATTTATGATACCTCTTTAACTAAAGTGTTTTCTGTCAACTGTCCTTCAAGTTGTTGTCTTTGTGAAATATGTTTCTGCAAATCTAGAAAACAATTAGGTATCTTAATTAAGACATATAATTTAAATTAATATTTATCAAGTTTATTATATTAATGATATTTTAAAACACTACTTAGTCTGTATATATATATATATATATATATATGAGGTACATGTATCATATTATAACGCCTGCATTCACAACTCACCAAATTAAATGAGAAATAGTTCCCCAAAAAACCAGGCTAACTTTCTTTCCCTAAAATGAGTGATACTACATGTATATCCCATTATTAAAATAATTTAAAAGATGATGCCCTTTCAGTGAATATTTTACAGTTTGATGACCGTCAAAGTATTATTTGAAAATATCCCATTGATTTAGAATATGAATCAAAATAAGGAAATGTTCAGTAGAATTCGAAGTATATAGTTGAACTTTCAACAAGACCAATACAGGTGAACCTGTGTCTCTGCATGCAATTGATTTAGGTAACATGTATACCGGAGCATAACTGATCATTCCAAGACCAAATACTAAAATCATTCACTTATAAAGGAGACAAGAAAATTTTCCTTGTACAATCAGCAATGATCAGTGTTTTAAAATTTTAAACTATGGCCATATGGGCAAACAGGGAGTGGCTACAAGGCAGATGTTAAAATTGCTTCCTAGCTACAACTCAACATTATCAAGCAGCAGACCAAATATTAAATCATTCAAATTCCCTTTCATAGAACTGTAGAAGCCAAGAAAACTTTGACAAAATTTTCTTTGGTAAGGACAGACAGAAAGATGGAGTGGTTACTAGACCTGTTTCTGCCTCTGCAACGAAGGTAAAAATCCGATGAATTTAATTAAACATACATTGTATCTATAATATTAAAAATTCAAATTTTAGCATTTTTTGGTATGACAATATTTTTATTTATTTATACAGTACATGTATTTTACCAGCGCATTATATAATATCTAAATTACTGTAAGCACTTTATATCAATTCACATATACAAGTATTTACAATAAAATTTAGCATATATGAGAAATGATCACTTATAACTTTTTAAAAGATGAACAAAGAGATGTTAAAATTCATAAAAATCTGAAATGAAATTCAGTTACAATGTATTATGAAAACAAATCATTCACAGAAATATGTTTACGAATAAGAATAAAATATTTATAAGTATAAAATCCAGTCAATTGGATTGCTACAAAAAACACAAACTATACTAGCTATAGTAGATGTAGGTAAATGTGTAACATTTACAAATAAATGGGGAATGTGTCCATGGGACACAGATGATGCCCCCGCTTGCATATAACGTTATAAAGGGATATAACTCAAGAACTGTAAAAGTGATGCTACCCAAACTTGTACTTGATCTGAGTTTTGTTGTAATAAGAATTGTGCATAAGTTTCATAACATTTGGTAGAGGCAAACTAAAGTTAGAGAACGGAAATGAAAAATTCATGAATTTTTCCATTTGTAAAGAGGCATAATTCTAGAACGGCAGTGATTTTGCTAGCGCTCGTCATTTTTGTCATTTTCGAAACGGTTTTCGAAATGACGAAAGTATTCCAAATCAATTTTGTCACTTAAATTTGGAAAGAGTAAAAATATTTTCGAATGAAAATACTCTAATTCTACCTGTCTTATTGTTTCTGATAAGTTTATAACCCTCAGCTAATTAACATTTACAACAGGTGTTATAAGTTGTGATTACAGATAATCCGCTTATTGCCATCGGATGGGTCACTAATCCGTTAATTATGTATCAACCTCATAATTGATCATCATAATTATTTTCCCCAGTAAAATCAGTCAGTCGCATTTCAATTTCAATATTTATCAAACGAGCACAATTTGCAGTTCGTTTGTCGTAGTTTTGTCATTTGAGTTTTACCTTGTACAGTTCGCATTTTAATTTTAATATTTTTCAAACGATCACAATTTGCAGTTCGCTTGTCTTAGTTTCGTCAAATGAACGTATTTTTGTCATATTTGATATAACTTTTAATCAAAAACTTTCGACAATTTCAATTAAAAAGATAGAACTTTATTCATAACATTCAGAAATGTTTTCACGAGTCAAACGTGCTTCTTTTACGATGAACTGCGCATGCGCAAAAGTATTCTTATGAATTTAAAGACACTAAAACGTAAAATACGAAATAATTAAGTATCAAACTAAACGAGAGAGACAAATATAGTTCTTATTTAGCAAATTTAATTTAAAAAATGATAATTTCCTGCTTTTTTTAAACATGAACCAATCTGTAGATGAATCCGGATTCATTCTGTATTTATTATCAACTTGTCACTTCCCGTTTTCATTTCATTTGGAAATCGAAAGAAAACGTGATCTATTCATGATAAATTTACAATTTAAAGTCATTAGAATTGTTCAACTTATAGAATTAATTCTGAATATCGCTTTAAAATGTTTTTAAGGATAATGAGTATGAATAATGCAGTGAAATAGTCCTTACAAGTTCATTTATGCAGTGATTCCTGGTTTTAAAAAAAAATGGATCCCAACTTTTACTGATTAGGGATGTACCCTGAAACTAACTGAAGTGAAATTGTGAACTAGATTTCTAGATCTTATATCCTAATCTTCGTATTAAAGTGCCACATCAGTAAAGCCATGCAGTAACTGCCTAGTATGCCTAAGTCCTTCAAAGTCTGACAAAGATGTATAGATAGTAATATACATCCTAGGTCCCTTGCTGCTACCCAAAATAAGGTTGATTTTCATCCCGCGCAAAAGTGACTAAAGCCCTCAAAATCCTAGCTTAAACCCTGTAGAACGGTAATAGTGACGCCACCAAAATTGAAAATATCTGTGTTTTGTGGTAATAAGCATTGTGTATAAGTTTCATAACATTTGGTTGAGGCAAACTAAAGTTAGAGAACGGAAACAAAAAATTCAGCAACTTTTCCATTTGTAAAGGGGCATAACTCTAGAACGATAAAAGTGACGCCACCAAAATTCAAACTTGATCTGTGTTTTGTGTTAAAAAGCATTGTGTATATATTTCATAACATTTGGTTGAGGCAAACTGAAGTTAGAGAACGGAAACCAATTTTGGGACGTACATACAGACGGACAAGGGTTAAACTTAATGCCCCCTCCTGTACTGCGGGGGCATAAAAATATTAAACCACCAAGTACATGATGTTTTTTTTTCTTTTCTAAAATGCTAGTTAACTGACATAACTGTTATCCATGATGAATTTAATGATTGTGATAGATGTCATTCATCATGTTCATCATCGTTGTTCTTATCTGTGTTGATTGAAAACAATTCTTTAACATCATGAAAATCAAATACATGTACAATGATGTACAAGGAAAATAAAATTTTTTTATATAAATTTTGAAAAAAATATATGTATTTAATTGAATAAATAAATTATGCAGTATTTCATCATGTTCATAAATTGTTTCAAACAACGTTTAATACACATGATACATGGCTAGTCCAAATTATTATGATGTCTTGAAAGGATTTCTTATTTTTTTTCTGCCACCTTCGAAAACAAATTTAAAATAGCCTTACAGGAAGGTCAGGATGGGATATACAGAAGAATGAATAATGGGCAAAAAGTGCAGAATAAAGGGCACTGCCGTTGTGTAATAAAACTTTGTGTATTTAAAATGAATGTTGGGTTACTTCCCTTGATTTATACTGTTTTAAGTTCCTTTCCTTTAAATAATGTAAATTTTTAAAAGAATATAAATAAAATATAAATTGAACAAATAATCATAAAAGGATGGTAATTAAATGATTTTAAATGTCTTAGGACAAATAAAAAAATAATAATTTGAAAATTATTTGAGGGTTCTATACTTCCTTTCATGGCTTAAATTGAAATTTATATAATAACTATGACCCATGATTACAGTTTGAATGTGTTACTTATCATGCATTAAAAATCTACTTTCATAAAAAAAAAAAATAAAAGATCTACTTGAAGATAGATAAGCAAATGTTCTGATTGCAATGAATAATGGTAAAAAAGATATGACCTAAAAAATTTAAAAACATACTAAAAAAGAAGAATGTTAGATTGAACAAGTTGAAAGTTTAAAAAGATAGAGAAAATTTATAAGTACAAGGGTACTATAAACATAATACATTGAGATGGAAAGTTGAAGAAAACACACTTTAACAGACAATTTCTACAGCACACGGTTACATTTACGACAGAATTTATGTCGATTAAAAACCTCCTGATCTGAGTCCTAATCTCCTGACCAAAAATTTCCCAAACTCCTGATCTTAGTTTCACAGTCCATCACATGTATGAGAGAATAATGCCATTATGGGGTGCTAAAATATAAAGGGAGAATAACAGGCAAAATTTTTAAATAATAGAGAAAATGGTTTAAAAAATTAAAGAATACAGAATTAAAGGAACCCCATCCAGACCCTCTTTCAAGACGTCAAAATTATTTGGATTAGCACATGGCCGAAACGACCAAAGCCGAAACCTCTTGTTTCCACGCATTCCATTGCATGACCATGGACACATGCACTTGTTTCTATCCATTGCGAGGTCGATTATCTATTATATATCGATAGTCGACCTTCCAATGGAATAAACAAGTGCCTGTGACCATGGATATCAAAAATTTTAAAATGACTTTTAACAGTATGACATTGCTGGTCATAAACGATGGAGATGGACATTTATCAACCTATCTCAGTATCTGGTTCCCACTTTTTAACAAGATAACGTGAAATTAGTTGTACCTTTCTGGAATCCGTCATATTTTTCTATATCACTCTGCAATCGTTTCTGAATTTCAGCCATATTGAAACAGATGAGATTTTCTGGCAAACTAATCTTGATTGGTCAATTTCAGAGCACTTATCCAATCCAATTAAACGTTTCTACTTCTACTTCTACTTTTAACATTAAACTCGCCTTCTTCTATGAGAGCTGCTAATATTTGACAGACCTGACAAAATGAATTCTTCAGGCATTAGAAAACAGGTTAAAAAATTATGTTTAGTTAAATAGCTTCAAAATGTGTGTCAAGAAAAGTAATGTTTCAGTAAACTATCATTTGCAATAGTTGTCATATTTCAAAAGCATGTATGTATGCTCTATAATATCTTCCTCCTTTCTTAGAAGCACCACCCCAAGCAAAAAAATAAAATAGCCTTTCAAAACGTCATAATTATTTGGACTACACCATGAGTAATAGACTTCTTACTGGTCCTTTATCAAAATTCTCACGGGTCTAGAAACACTGATGAATTTCAACGTCTATGTTTAACTGTAAATATTTTAAAGTTGCATGTACATGATGTACAGTCATGACAGTATTGTGTGATTTTATTTGGGTTATAGTTTAAATGAGGATTTCCTCGATCTCCTATATTGGAGGTGAAGATTAATTACAGATACTGATACAGATACAGAATAGTGTAACAGGTGTAAGGGAGGACACTGTATCGGTACATATTATTTAGTCCAAATAATTATGACGTCTTGCAAGGCTATTTTAATTTTTTTTTTCTGTGACGCCTTCCTACACCGTAAATTAAAATAGCCTTGCAAGAAGTCATAATTATTTGGACCAGTAGGAAGGCGTCACAGAAAAAAAAATTAAAATAGCCTTGCAAGACGTCATAATTATTTGGACTACAGATTATTATGAACATTTGCCTACCCAGTTCCCCAGCAAACCTGACCATGACTGGTCCTGAGACTACTATGACACAGTTAAAGTAGTCTCAGACTGGTCTTACTACTAAAAAGTTCACCTTCCAGAATACAATGCAATAAAACGTATAAAGGTTGTTCAACAAAGAATTCAAACACACAAACACATATTCACAAATACCTCTTGGGATTCTGTTCCGGGGACACATTTATCATCCTTTGATTTTCGTTGTCTACAAATAGAGTCCCTAGTGTCAGTCAGCGGTAGGTCTTTTCACTGCTGAACACCACAGCACACCACCGAACACAGCAAAGCAAAACACTGCTGAATACCCCAAAATGATCTTAAACTATGAAAAAAACAATATTTTATTATGTTATTTTATCTATTTCACATATTTTAGTAAAAAGTTTAACAAATAAAAAAGAAACAAGACCAATTATTAACACCAAAAAGAGTAGGAGAGTCATCAACACTGCAAAACACCGCTGAACACCCATAATTATACCTTTTTATCATTTATTTTACCTTTTTGTTAAAATTAAGTAAAAAGTTTAACAAATAAAAGGAAATGAGACTAAATTTTGACATCGTGATTGTGAGTATGAGTGTAAATTATGTAATAATTTAATGAGGAATTATCTTTTTGTTTATTTACAGTTCATTTAATTTAATAAATTCAAAATCAGAGTTACAACTAAATTGCATTCCACAAACAATTTTATTCCAACTTTTTACATCAAATACTACTTAATTAACTAGAATTTAACAATTCAGTAAAAGATTTTTATGCCCCCGCCGTAGCGGTGGGGGCATTAAGTTTTACCCTTGTCCGTCTTTACGTACGTCCCAAAATTGGTTTCTGTTCTCTAACTTGAGTTTGCCTCAACCAAATGTTATGAAACTTATACACAATGCTTATTACCACAAAACACAGAGCAAATTTGAATTTTGGTGGCGTCATTTAACCGTTCTAGAGTTATGCCCCTTTATAAATGGAAAAATTGCAAAATTTTTAGTTTCTTCTAAATATCAAGTAATTTTTAAAATTGGAGTTATCTTCCTTAGTCCATGATTATAGTTGAATCAACTACAATCAATGCTTTATACAATGCAATGTTTAATTTTGACTTCCACTGATAAAACACAGATCAAGTTGAATTTGGGTAGTGTCGTTTTAACCATTATTGAGTTATGCCCCTTTATAAAATGAAAGATTGCAAAATTTTTAGTTTCCATTCTGTCACTTAAGTTTGCTCCAATAAAACATTATGAAACCTATACACAATATTCATTACCACAAAACTAAGATCAAGTACAAATTTTTTGTTTCCGTTTTCTAACTTTAGTTTGCCTCAACCAAATGTTATGAAACTTATACACAATGCTTATTACTACATAATACAGATTGAGTACGAAATTTGGTGAGAACACTTTTACCATTCTTGAGTTATGTCCCTTTATAAACATAAAAATTGCTGAATTTTTCGTTTCCCTTCTCTAACTTTAGTTTGTCTCAACCATATGTTATAAAACATGAGAATTTGAGTCGAATTGGTGAACATGAATTTGACAGCTAGTGCCCCTTTAAGAAATATAACTTTTATTTGTTTGTTAAAAAACTAAGGAAGGATCAGGAAGGCGAAATTTAACTACAGAATGACAAAGCAGACCCAAAAAATGACATAAATATATTTATTGAAAGAAATAAAAAAAGAATTCATCTGCCCAGAACCAAAATAATACCTTCAATAGTTATATAGAAATAGACATTTAATCTGAAAAAAAATCAATAATGACATCAATATATATCATGTATATGTAGTTGATTTCCTGAAACAATAACATAATAAATAAACTTTCACAAATGCTGTGAGTATTCTCCGTTAAATTATTCTTTGAAATTGCGATAAAAAATCAACAAATTCAGCAGTTTTCTGCTTTTATTGACACACATTATTGTTTTTTCATAGTTTTAATTCACTTTTTGGGTGTTCAGTGGTGTGCTGTGGTGTTAGGCGGTGAAAAGACCAACCCGTCATGAGTGTGGACAGTATATAACTTGCAAATTTCTTTTGATACACCTTCCAAATTTATTTATTTATATTTTATGCATAAAATAGTAAGTCATTTGTAAGTAGGGAGAGCAACAAGAGGAAATGCAACTTTTGACCTATTCTTAACCAATAGACCATCACTAGTTATCAGATGTGTATCATTACCTGGAATTAATAATCACGATATAGTATTTATTGATTCGAACACATTAGCAAGAAATTCAAAACCTGTACTTGCTGTACAGAGAAAGGTCTATATCTGGAAAAGGGCAGACACAGATGAAATGAAAGAGAGAGCAAAGGATCTTGCAAATAGTTTCCACCAGTTGTACAATAAACACAGTCCAGTCTCAGAGATGAGAGAGTTTATAAAATCAGGCCTCTAAAACATCCAAGAGATTGTCCCATCAAAGATGTCGTCAACAAGATACCACCAACCATGGATCAATGGAAATGTGAAATGCATTGCAAAAAGAAAGAAGAAAGCATACAAAAAAAGCACAGAAAACTAAATCAGCAGCAATAATTTTAAGCATTATAAGGAAATAAAGAAAAAAGCCAGAAACCAATGTAAGAAGGCATATTCCACCTATGTTCATGACATCATAAGCCCAGAAGTAAAGTCAAACCCTAAAAAATTCTGGAGCTTCATCAAAAGCAAGAGATGTAATAATGGAGGAGTGGCACCACTTAAGAACAAAGATGGCCTTACCTACTTGGACAACACTACCAAAGCTAACTTCTTGAACTATCAGTTTTCTTCAGTTTTCAACAGCAAAGAAGACAAAACCAACATTAAAAATAAAAGTATGAAAACACAGCTATTTCCATCAATGGAGGACATATAAATTTCTAAACTTCTGTCAAACCTAATAACATCAACAAAGCATATTGACCAGATGAGATAACAACAAGACTGCTCAAAACAGTTGCTACAGATATTTCAAGCATATTTACAACATTGTTCCAAGCCTCAATAGACCAAGGTACATTACCACCTGACTGGAAAAATGCCAATGTCGTTCCAATTTTCAAAAAGGGAGACAGAAGCCAGGCATCAAATTACGCTCTGTCTTACTCACTGCCATCTTGTGCAAACTTCGATCTAGAACACATTATCTGCAGTAACATCAATAAGCACCTAGAGAAACACTCAATACTGAATGATGCCCAACACGGATTCAGGAGAGAGCGGTCTTGTGAGTCCCAGCTCATACCATCCAGAACCTTGCAAGGAATGTCGACAATAAGGGACATATGGACCTTATTCTACAAGATTTCACCAAGGCCTTTGACAAGCATGACAAGGTACCACACAAAAGGCTTCTACACAAGATACACCATTATGGTATAAGAGGTACAACTCTGACCTGGCTAAGAGACTTCTTGGAAGACAGGCAAAAACATGTCCTACTTGAAGGGCATTCATCCGAGTCGGCACCTGTACAGTCTGGGGTACCTCAAGGAAGTGTATTAGACCCGCTCATGTTTTTGCTGTTCATCAATGACCTACCAGAGTATGTATCAACATCAAAAGTCAGGCTATTAGCAGATGATTGTGTTTTGTACCATCAGATAAAAAATACAGACGATACTGACAAGCTCAATAAAGATCTGGACGGATTACAGTCAGGGGTACTACTTGTACAAGTAAATATTAATATACTTATATAAGTAAATTTGTAAGATACTTATACAAGTGTATTTTATTTACTTGTATAGGTAAATTATTTTATTGTCTTAGTTATCAATGGTTATGTTCCTTAGACATTCAGATTTTTATACGACCGCAAAAAAATTTTGTGGTCGTATATTGGTATGACGTTGGCGTCGTCATCGTCGTTGTCCGGCGTTGTCGTCGTCCGAAGACACATTGGTTTTCGCACTCTAACTTTAGTTTAAGTGAATGGATCTGTATGAAATTTTTCCATAAGGTTCAATACCACAAAAGGAAGGTTGGCATTGATTTTGGGGGTTATGGTACCAACAGTTAAGGAATTAGGGGCCAAAAAGGGGCCAAAAATAAGCATTTTTGTAACTTTCAGACATAACTTGTGTGTTAGTGTATGGATCTCTCTGACATTGTACCACAAGGTGTCATATCACAAAGGGAATGCTGGGATTGATTTTGGGGGTAATTGCTTCCAAATTTAAGGAATTAGGGGCAAAAAAAAGGGGCAAAAAACAAGCATTTTTCTAGTTTCATGACAATAACTTGTGTGTAAGTGTATGGATCTTTATGAAATTGTACTACAAGGTTCGATATC